GTTCCGTCATTTCCCTTCCAATGAAAAACCGACGAGAGCACTACACACTACCTCACTCAATGGCTGCTTGCCAACAACTGACGCAATCAACAAGCGGGAAAAAATTCACGCATGCGCACGAAGGTTCAAGGTCGGCTCATGCAAGCGCGCTTGATTCAAATCCATCAGGTTATAGCAAAAAAAAATAAGGTCGGATACTTTTCTCACAGGCCTCATATATATATACATACATCATTCACAATCAGACTTGTATTAATTTTATTATTGTTATATAATGCTGATTTAATTGCCTATTTATAATTAATATATCTTATAATATTAGAACTACTGATTTATTTATATAGTACATATATACTATAAACAACACTAAAAACACATATGAAACAATGCAATGGTTATGGTGATTTTACTGGTATACAAATATACCTTAAGAGTTACACTACTCCAAAAATTTTGTGTGAGATAGGTAGCAAGAGTTCTAATAAATGCAGAGAAATTTCTGTTTTACATAATTCTGTAGTATTATATGATGTTGTGATTATTGGTATACTTTCAACAGGAAAATAAAAGGAACCTCACTAAGACTATATTATTATATAAAAACTGTTAGAGTTTATGTAGCAGTAGTAAGATATAAAACCAGTGGAAGAATTTAAACACCTTTATTGTAAACTGGACTGTTCCTGGAAGTAATGGCACGTACTGAATCATTATAGTTTCGTCAGCTAGTTCTTCAATGTAACCCTGAAGAGACAGAAAGAGAGAAGATGCTTGATTAATATCAAATTTATTTCATTCAATGACTATTGTTATTGTGTCACATAAAGAAAACCTGTAAACTTCTAAAACACACACACACACTACAGTCACCTTTAACAAATCATGTAAACTTCTAAAACACACACACACACTACAGTCATCTTTAACAAATCATGTAAAATTCTAAACACACACACACTATAGTCACCTTTAACAAATCACGTAAAATTCTAAAACACACACACACACTATAGTCACCTTTAACAAATCATGTAAAAGTCTAAAACACACACACTATAGTCACCTTTAACAAATCTGATAATCTTCCAAAACACACACATTATGGTTACCTTCAATAAATTGTGTAAACTTCTAAAATACACACTAGGATTACCTTTAACAAATCCTATAAACTTCTAAAACACACACACACACTATGATTACCTTCAATAAATTGAGTAAACTTCTAAAACACACACACACACACTATGATTACCTTTAATAAATTGTATAAACTTCTAAAACACACACACACACTATGGTTACATTCAACAAATCATGTAAGTGTCTTAAACATATACACACACTACAGTCACCTTTAACAAATCTGATAATCTTCTAAAACACATACGCTATGTTGTCCTTCATTCAATTTTGTAAAGTTTTGTACACATTCACATTATGGTCTCCTTCAACAAATTCGGTAAAGTTTGAATATCAAATTGGAATTAAAAAGAATAAACACACCATTAAGGGGTTGATACTCAGAGCCTGAATAGAGGAGTCAGTTTCAGGATCCACAGCATATTCTGTAACAGCAAGACTCTCATTTCTGATAACAAAACTTGTCTGACAAATTTGACCACATACCTAAAGTTAAAAAAAAAGGTTTGTTTTTACTGAATATGACAAAGTCGCTATGTTAAAAAGTAAACAGAAAAAAAATATATATATATATGTTACTGCATATGATTTAAGCAATACAACACCAAGGATTGTCTAGTTTACTCAAACTAACTGATTGATACTACACCAAGGCATGTTTAGTTTACTCAAACTAACTGATTGATACTACACCAAGGCTTGTTTAGTTTACTCAAACTAACTGATCGATACTACACCAAGGTTTTTAAGTTTACTCAGGCTAACTCAATGATTATATAGCCAGTTTGTTTAGTTTATTCAGATTAACTAAATGATACTATCCAGGCTTATCCAGTTTACTCAGTCAAAATAATGATTAGTTAAGAACTCTTAATAGGTTATACATTCCACAAATTGTACAAAAAGTTGCTTCAATAAATAGTGACAAAATATTTTAAAATGACATATAAATGAAATCTATCATCATAGTTACACAAATTTCTTACCTTCTCACCTAAACAGATTTTTGTCGGTTTTAAAGAAAACTTCAACTGACAAATTCCGCCTGTTAAAATACATTTGTAAGTGGGTCCAAACTGCACTTTGCACAGGGCCTCAGTGACCACTGAAGTCTCCATCACACCGTAGAGAATAAAAGTAATGGTTTCACTTTGTCCACACCGAAGCAGTCCAGAGTTGGGGAAAATATCAAATATCTATAAGATTTGTGAAAAGTAAAACAAATGGGGGCAAGGAAACAACAATACAAGAATATCATGTGAATGCTTATCCACGAAGTCTTATGTAATCCCATTTTATGTTTTGTTTTCTTCATCTACTTAATAAATATATATAATTAGAAGTAATCCTTACATAATCACATTTTATGTTTTGTTTTCTTCATTTACTTTACAAATATATATATAATTAGAAGTAATCCTTACATAATCCCATTTTATGTTTTGTTTTCTTCATTTACTTTACAAATATATATAATGACAAGTAATCCTTGCATAATCCCATTTTATGTTTTGTTTTCTTCATTTACTTTACAAATATATATAATGACAAGTAATCCTTGCATGATCACATTTTATGTTTTGTTTACTTATAAAAGGTATTTAAAAATATCCTCACATTGTTTGTTTTGTTTACTTTACAACAATGTAGTTATATGTAACATAGCTATCTGACTACAACAACACTTTTTTAATTCATCAAACCATTCCTACACTTTACCTCCAGTTCCTTTCTTTAAAACAAGATATTTGTTTTTTTAAAAAGTCTTCCTCTCAGTATAATTATTCCTGATTTCAATTTCTTTTAATCAAACTTTTCAATAATATAACATATTCAATATTTCTGATTGAATTCGTATGTTTTCCTCCTACTGAAATATTGCATTTTTTTCAGCTCCACATGTTTCACTTTTTAAGTCAAGGTTTAATTTGTCTTCCTTCTGTTTTCTGGTTTTGAGTTCCTGATGTTCCTGTCTTCCCTCTACTGACATACCCCATTTTTTTCAGTCCTTCGTGTTGCTTTTGTAGTCAGGTTTTAATCTTCTTCCTTCAACTAAATAAGTCCTGTTTTTCAGTCCCTCATGTTGCTTTTTTTAGTTAAGGTGTAATCTGTATTCCTTCTACTAACATGTTCCTTTTTTTTTAATACATCATGTTGTTTCGTTAGTAAGGGTTTAATCTCTCTTCCTTCTACTAAATTGAATGTATTCTGTTGTACAATCCCTCACATTAATTTTTTTAGACAAGATGTAATCTGTCTTCCTGCTACTAACATTCTCCTGTTTTTCAATCCCTCATGTTGTTTTTTAATCAGTAATTAACCTGTTTTTATCCTACTAAAATATCTCCTGTTTTTCAATCCCTCACATTGTTAGCTTATCGATAAAATATGTTGATTTTTATGGAGAATAAAAAATAAGCTTTTGTCAACTTCTATATATGTATCTATCAATAACTTAACCTAAAGTTGAAATTATAGGCTCAAATAAAAAACTTTCACAAAAAGCTTCTTCACCTCAGCATCTTTCATACTGCCCTGATCTTCCTTGTCATGCTGAAATTCAATGTCACCCACTGAGCTGTAAGAAAAACTCTTACCAGACGACCTCTGAACTTTGTTTCTTAGATATCTTCCCTCAGAAGTAACATAACAATGATTAGATAATAAAGTAGACACTACTGGGTATGATGCTGCCAAGCCCAACGAGTTCCTTCTGATGTTGCCATCCTCAGAGAAACTCCATTTATAAGTAAGGTTCAATGGACTGTTATTGGTAATGGTTGTTGTCATTATTTTCTCACTTCCAAGACTAATGTAGCCAAATTCAAGATTCTGGTTGGAGAAGGTTAAGTTTG